TTCTAGGATTCACCTTCAAATTCATAATTCACCTACACGAAAACTCTGGAAATGAAACTAGGAAAGTGGGCAATGTGATGAAATATCTCGAACTGACGAAAAATTTGAAGTACCCAAGCACATAATGAAGATATTCAAAGAATTGCATTTTATATAAGCCCATGCTAGTGCCTACACTAGTTGCATATTGCCCATTTTATTCCTGAATAATCATCTCGGAATTATGAGTTTAAATTTTAATCAACATAAACGAGATGACTGCGTCTGTCAGCGGAAAAGAAATCAAAATTTTTTCAAATGCTTCCGATTTTGGATAAACATCCTCAATTGCCTCGACATAACGATAAGAACTATAGCAAAATGAAATACTCACTTGTAAAAAATTCTACTCGGATTAAGATACAAATCAACTACAGAATCTTTGAGCCGTCTCCACCTACTCTCCGCCGGTGGTTTCACACTTGTCTCCATTGTCACCGGTTCACAATGAGATCTCAATTCAAACTGAATCGCCCAAGGCGTCCCGCATAATAACTCCTCACATGCCTCAATTTATTAAATGTAATTCCTCACGTATAACCACGTAACACAAGTACATTGATCGTTATGGAGTTCACTTCAGAAATCTGTAGGCGGTTTGATCAAGCTCCCTTATAATTTCATTTGTTGAATTGAAACTTGATGTCATTTTTCTTATTTGTCTCACTCTACTAATTGCTATGTAATCGTGAAATCACTACTCATGAAGATTGAACTTGCCTTGGCAGTGATGTGCTGCGTGGGAAAAAAAAGGAAAGGCCATCCGCGTAACGGTACATTCGGATCGGAAAGGAGCATAAACCGTCCGTTTCAGCGGATAAATTCTAAAAAAATAAGAACAAAAAATCTGAAAAATCGGTGTCGTGGTCATGTGGTGTCGCGCATGCAGTCATTGCGCATTACTGATAGTACTTGGCAATGGTTGAGGCGCCGCATAGCGTGTCATTTGTTTCCTGAATGCTTAATTATCAATATTTATCCACGGTATTCGGTCCATCCAATAATTTACTGCCACATTGCACCTGAAAAACGTGTTATTTAACCAATTGAGTGAATGGGTAAACGACGAATCAGTGTGATTAATTGGAATCTAATTTGTTGAACTATTCGTTGATATTCTGATGGGGCGATGACTAATAATCCAGATGGTAGAAAGACTACAAAAAACAGGTCACAATGTTTGGAAAGTGGAAGCCCATTAGTGACCTCGGGGTCCAAGTGTCGTCCAAAGAAAGTTTCCTCAAAAAATTGAGCTTCCACATATTCAACCAGTCATACCGGTTTTATCCATTCAGTCACTAAGCCTGGAGATGTAGGTGACAGTGATTCAAGGTGAATGTCACCACTGAAAATGGCGCAATGCCAAAGAATAGCTCAATGAACTCAGTAGTGAATAACCGAAATGAATGACTGAAACTTGAAACTATTTTAACGCTGGAAAAATTTTTTGGTAGTTGTGAAAACTTTCAATACGAAATGTCCTCTAATTTTTTCTGCCTAATTCAATAATTGTTGAGCTATTGACAAAAGTGGAGTTCAGGTATCTGAATTACTGAAATTTGGAATGATTCCTTGTTGTTTCTGTTGAATCCATATCGAATTATTGACGAGATAATTACATGACTACAAATATTTACAAAAACGAGTATCACCTCAGGATGAATTGAATTAGTGTAGTTGTTCACCTTCTTTAGAATGCATTTATCTTGATAGTTATTGACATTACTAAAAAACGAAATGATGCGAAAATGATTCACCCATGCTTACACATATTTTTTTTTTAATTCCGTCATTATTGAGACAATGGGAAAATTGCGAGTAGTCACTTCATGAATTAATTAAGTAGTGGAGTTAAAGCGCCTAAATTTCTGAAACTTACAATGTTTCTATCTTTATTAAAGTTTTACTTATACCGACATTGATTCATTCTAAGAGAACTGTCTTTGGAGCTGAAATAATATCCCATGTTAGACATGCTTTTAATGTTTTCAACTAAATCTCCTACTAGTTACTAGTCAACGAGATAATTATATAATTTCGAGAAGCCATGTCTTGTCAACTAGGAAAGATTTCAACTATGACAGTTCAACTGCTCAGGTTTAAATACACGCCAAACGGATGAAATTATTATTAATTATTATCGTTAATTAAAATATCGTAGTTGATATGTCGCCTAGTTAAAAAGACGTACCACCAATTTCGAGAATGACCCTACGATTTAGGGCATGGCTCATCTTTTTTAAAACGTAACTATCTCTATAACTATTGGCTCTACGAGAAAACAGCCCAGAAATTTTTGTAACCCAGAAAATTCCCGATAAGGAAAGATTTTTTATATTTTCTTCTAAACCCGTTAATTAGCAGGATGATGGGTGGTTGGGTGGCGAGTAGCCACGCGACGACTCAATCAATTCTTAAAGTTGAAGCATCCAAATTACTGAAACTTGGGTATTTTATCCAGATTCCATCTTTCTTTAAAATGTGATTTTCGCAATAGACATGAACTTTACGAGGAAGTACTACAAAATCATTTTTTTTTGTAACTGATAGGGAGTCCCTCACAAGGAATATTTTCTGATGTGTTTACTACAATCTACTTGCTAAAAAGATGACACAATACTGATTATAACCGATGATTTATCGAGTGCGTGGAGTTGCCCACTTTCATTAATGTTCTTTAAAAATCTCTAGTAGACTTGTATTGTCATATGACCGTCACATAATAGAGAGAAATCTGGCAATGTTGTCATATGACCGAATTATGACGGAATTATCGCATAACCGTAATATTGCAACTGGAGATGTGACATTATCTGTAGTTTTATTCCTACAAAATAAACACACACACATTTTCGAACGTATCGTCTATCGAAGAATAGAAATAACAGTCAAACTTCTGTTAGCCGATAATCAATATGGTTTTCGGAAAGGCCGACCCACACCAGATGCCATCAACCTTGTCGTTAATTCCACCAAGGAAGCGATTTCAGGGACGAGATGGCTCAATGGTACAAAGAAGTATTGCCTAGTAGCGACACCAGATATCACGAATGCCGTCAAATTGGCCAGGTGGAACTATATCATGGACGCTCCTACGAAGTTCAACGTATCCGGGTACTTGCAGAGGATGGTCGATAGCTATTTCACCGGAAGGGTCCTTAAGCCCAACACAGAGTGTGGTCCCGATGAGTACAGAGTCACCGGAGGTGTACCTCAAGGCTCAATATCGGGTTTCTTGTTGTGGAATATCATGTATGACAGGCTGCTGAAATTGACATTGTCGCGGAAAACTAAACTCGTGGCATTTGTAGATGACGGGGACGTCATTATTGTGGGCAAACCCCACGTGGAAATACCAGGAAGGGATCAACTTCATCTTCAACACGACCTTTGAAATGATTCGCCGTTGGATGGACACAGTAGACCTGTAACTGGCAGAACATAAGGCAGATAGGCCGTGCTGATGACAGGTAGAAAATAGGGTCCTGCGAAATTACTTCCCAGCCGTTCATCCGATACCTGGGGGTGATGATCGATGCCCGACTCAATTGTCAGCAGTGAGCAGAGCACGTGGCTGCGAAAGCGTCTGGTCTCAGAGCTATCTTATGGCACCTCATGCCCGATATAGCAAGTCCTAAACCAAGAAGATGACCGTTGCTGTCATCGGTGGTCACGTCGGTTCTTATATATGGTATTGTCATCTGGGCTGATGCACTGCAGTTATAGGAATCAAGGCGATTGTTGTTCAGCTATCCTCTCTTCACCCTCTCCCCTGAAAATTTCATTCAAAAGTCAAACAACAAAAAATTAATGGCCAAAATTACAATGAATAATACAATGAACAATGAACAGAATTAATTTCAATAAATGATTGTAATTAAAAAACATTTACAATTAGCTGTAGATACGAATCAATAGATACAAATCTACTGTAATGAAATTAAAATAGGTGCTTACGGTAATTCACGTTGTGAAAGTGATATTTATCATTTTGTTTGTTTACTGGCGTAACAACTATAATAAATAGATGAACTATTTCGAAATTAGTGTCATATTACTAAATTATCGACTCACATTTCATCGAAATAGTTGGTCAGTTCCGATTTTCGCCCTCTGGCAAACATTCGTCTCTCCCATTTGACCCTTCGCCGGTTTCTTCGACTCCTTATTTTTATGACATAATCCTATGTGACCATTATACTGCATCCAAATACTAGTGGCAATGTCAAATTACTCAAAATTTTATGACCACTTCTTCAATTTATGACACTATTATGATATAAATTTCATGTGACCATCATATCCCATCTAAATAGTGGTAACAATGTCAACCTAGTTGAATTATGACAGAGAAAATGTGACGTCAGATGACCGCCATGTGACGGTCATCTGACGTCACATTCTAACTCTATTCCCTACTGAAACCACTCATTGATGCGATTCAATTAATTTGTGAAATTGCTGAAACACTCGAATTACTAAAACTTTGGAGTAACATCTGGGTTCCGTATTATTACAAACTGTAACTATTTCGACATCCGTTCACTTACCAAGAAAACATCAAAGAAGTTGTTTGGTAGTTAAGAAAATTTCCCATAAAGGCTATTCAATGGCTTCAATGTTCTCTCCTAAAAATACTCGTTGGCGAGAAAATGATATGATTACAAAATTCCGGAATTGAATCAATTCGTAAGCAAGCAGGAGCATTTTATGATTTCTCCAGTGAACTGATCAAGGACAGCCGGCTCACGTATTCACGTGGTTGATTTAACATTTCTACCTGTAGGTGTGTCTTCCTCATCATTACCCCTACCTGGCATCCAACTCTGTCAAAAGTAGGGAGTTCACGGTGTGTACTCGTTTGGTACCGGTGTACGCCTTTCCCATTCGGTCATCCTGGTGGAATACCAAGTGTTAAACCGTCAGTGTATCTCTCACTTCTCTCTCCGATGGACGGGTATCCTCATCAGAGTGTAAAGTTGGTGTCAACAAGGCCAAATAATTATTTTTTTTTAAACAAAGTTTGACTTATTCTAGTTGAAAAATAGTTCAGGAACTCGAATATTTGTGGATTAAATCGAATGATTTAATAGCCCTTTTGGTAACATCCGAAACTACGGGTAAGTGGGATACGATCCGTGATGAGCTGATACGACGAGTTACGAGCAAACATTTCATACGGTCAACGAATAGCTGATTTATGGGATTGCATTAATTAACATCCTCCTAAAATCCCACCAAACATTATTGACCATTTCATTTCACCTCCATTTACTGTATCGATAACCATTAATTAATGTGATTCAGCATCATTTAGGATTGGAGCTTCGGGGGAGGAATTGGAGGGTGATTACCAATCGGAGATTTGCAAATTTGATTATTCAATGTAACGGTTATAGAAAGTTTTGAGATGTTGGGAATCATTTGTTATTGAAGAATTCTATCATTGTGGGTCATTCTTGATCGGTGAGAATATGATATTTTGGGGATTTAACGGGTTTTTATTTCACTGTTTTGCGCGGAGAACTTACGATCTGCCATTGATAACTCAGGAATGAATTATTAAAGATCGGGCGATAATCTCCGTGGGAATCTCCGTGGGAATGTTATTAATATTTTGAGGATGGAGGGCTTTACGGAAGTTCATCAAGAGAGCTTCTAGGTCTTTAAACTTTGCAAAATTAAACCGTAGCATTTTCAATAAGTCTAACAAAAGGGTATGTTGATTTTTTTGCGAATATCTTTGAAAGCAAAAGGTAATAGATTTATCAAAGAAAATTTTTGAGGATGATTCAATGAGCTAGGAAGTGAGTAATATTTTTTGTGAATTATGCAGTCATGTCATTTACGAGTAATTTTAGATAAAAATGGTGAAAGGCATTCCTTATAGCCCTCAACCGTTCTCTATTTTGGAAAAATGTGTGGACATTTTCTTTCAAAATAATTTGTTCTCGAGATCCTTCCGAACTCGCTTTCAAGGTCAGTTTTTGTTATTAACAGTTATTTAGTAGATCTCACATTGCTGTGGGATGAAGATTCTTCGGAAAATTTATTCATCTCCAATATTTTAATACTAAATTCTCCAAATCTCACTTCATTAAGTTCCCTAAATTGATTTCAGAAGAACAATGTGGAAGTTGATCCTACTGATAAGCCTATCAATAGGCGTCTCTCAAAGTCAATTGAACTTCGAGGGAAATCCTCTCACCGAGAATACCGACTACACAGCTGAAGAGTCGCATTATTCCCTGAGACATGATGCGGGTAAATCGCAAAAGTTTGATGAAACGAATGACAATGGAGTCGACACTTACCTGGCAGCGGCAAATGGCCTGACTCACTCCGATAATCTCCCGAAAAATATTGAAGGCGGTATGATTGACGTGAGATCGATTGGGCCTCAGCCACAGCTCATGAATGTGAATAAAGTGAATCAAATTCCGCGTACAATGACCTTCGATGTGTATGACAATCGCCCAGTGAATGGTTACTCAAGTGCTTCTATTAGCCTGAATAAAACCAAGATCATATCTCGACAATTATCCACAGATCCCTTGGACACATTTCTAAATTCCAGAACACCCGAGGAATCTCAATTAGCCCTGGATACATACTTGAAGAGTCGTCACCAATCAGAAATCCAAGCAACTCGACATCCTCAAACAGAAGTGCAGAATATTCAGATGATTAATCCCAATAATCAGGATAATCATAATAATCCGAACATTCTGACGAATGCACCTCAATACCTCAGCAATGGGTACACGAACATAAATACCTTAGATAATCCTCAGAATATTAATCAAGCACAGTTACCTGGTAGTGCAGTGATCCCTCAACAGAATGGACAGATCATTAATCCCCAAGTCTCTCAAACACATCCATTAGCGCCAACACGGCCTCAAATGACTTTCCAGAGTAGACGAGACGTTATACCAATGGCCAGAAGACGACCCTTCTATCATCATCGAGGTGTACCACGTTATCGTGATAGGTATAATGCGCAATCGAGAATTGGTCCTGGTTTTATTTCACAATCACCGCTATCCGAACCTTTTGGACCTCATGCTGGGCCACCGATCTACCCTGGTGACAAGCCTATTGATGTAATTTACACAAAGCCACCGGGTTTCGGTCACAGGCCACCTCCTATCAGCAATTCTCCAGTTCCTTACGAAGCCGCTAGTGAATATTTTCCAGAAAGTCAGCATCCACCCGTTAATAAAGACGTTTATTATTCGCAGTTATGGGCGCAGTCTTACGATCCCCATTACTATAATTACATCGCCAAGACAGGGAAAATTAAGCCCTGGTTGTATGGAAAACTTGGGAAGCATGAGGACAAGGGATTCTGGCATGAGTTGTATATCAGTTTTAAGAAACATGGGATGAAGAATATGATGAATCCGATGTTTTTACTCGGATTATCGATCCCTGCAGTTACACTCATGCTTAGTGCAATGGTCGGGAAAAGATCGCTTGGAAGATCGGATAATGATAGTAATTATTATCTCAGTGAGGAGAAAATTACGGAACTCGCTGAGAGAGTGCAAAGGGCTATCGAGTGCTATGAGAATCAGACTGCGTGTTCACAGTAGATGGAGAAATTAGTTCTAATGGATACGAGCAAGGATTTCAGCAAAATCATTTCGATATAGTGATGTGGGGATGTGATGAGTGATGTTTACTTGAATGTCGGGGGCATATAGATGGGGATGAGGGAATTTGTATGCTCTGATAACGTGTAATCATATGCAGAACATATTTTTTTAAGACAAGATGTATTTTTTGAACAGGATAGCCAATGAAGGATAACCAAGTACTTCGGCTATTTTTTCTCCTAGTGAAATGCTTTTCTATTTTTGTAGTCGACCATCAGAGCTTTGATTTGAGCCCCATTTGAATCTAACTTTCCGGACATTTTACAACGATTTTATTATTTAAACTTTGCAGGTCTGAATTTGCATCTGGATATTGAACCATTAGAAAACATTTAAAAAAACAGAAGAAATTAGAAAGCTTACTTTTTAAAATTTTAAAATTACAACTTTTGGAATTTATGAGCATATTCTATAAATAATTTATAAACGATCAATTTTCTACTATAAAATTCATTTGTTCGGAACTGTAACAAATATTCATATTCAGAATTTTACCACAAATCGATTTCATGCCTAAAAAAAATAAGTTTCCGAAAGTTTAAATAAGTTCAGTTATTTCTTTATAAACAACGAATGTTTAATAAATAATAATTCGGTGCAAAATCTCATTTAAATAACGCTGAATATTCATGATTTTTTCAATTTTTTTTCACGCAATTTAATTGACAAATTCGATGATTGAAAATCTTTAGTGTAATCTGTACCAAATTGTAAAACGTACTTGGATATCCTTAAGGGGAGGTTCACACAGGGAAAAAAACTTTTTCATTTTTCGAGGAAAATTTTTAACAATATCATTTATTGTCTGATTTTTCCTCGGGAATCCGATTCTTATAATTCAAAATTATCGTCAACCTCTCAAAATGAGAGGTTTGATTTTTTTTGTTACCGAAAATTGAACTTGAAAAGCATACCCAGCGTACAAATTAAAAAAAAATTTTTTTAAATATAATCATCAATTTTCGCTTCTTAATGATGAAAAATGGGAGTGATGATGCATTTTGAAATTCATGTGATTATCAAAATTTCTATTATTATCTCAAGAAACAATTTTTTCTTGTTGAAATATTATGTATTTACTCTATTCATGAATACGAACTATATGTTTATTGGTCCTCATCTACTTAGTCTACTTAGTCTTTTGTTACTTCACAGCTAAAAGAGTTCCTTTCAATAATCTTTTTATTATACTACATCGCTCCCTAAATTTCGGATTGGTACATTTTTCTGTAATGTTTTCCACCATTTTCCATTCGTTTTGTAAAAATTCACTCATTCCAATTAATAATTATGCGAAATTTTTGAAAATAAAGTCGATCTATTGAAAATGACAACTTTTTTGCATCTTCTGCCCCAGTTTTCATAATTAAGAAACGAAAATTTGTAATTATATTCAAAAAACTATCTCAAAAATTTATACATTAGCGATTTCTTCGAGTCAACTGTTCGGTTAAAAAAATTAAAACTAATTTTTGAGTAGTCGGAAAGAATGTTAGACTGTAGAATCCGATTTAAAATGAAACCTTTTTTTCCCCGTGGTGAACCTCCCGAAAATTTGTTTGAAAATTTTGCAGAAACGGTAACCTTCTGTTATACCTTAATAATTTTCTACGGGGAGAGAAAAATCGTTGAAAATTCCCCCTCGTTTCTAGAAATCGCGTAACATGTTGATTTGCGAGCAATCTTCACCAAGATTCTAAGTTTAAAAAATGTAATAAGTTTTGTGAAAATTCCAAAATTTTTAAGAATGAGGCAAAGTGGAATGGTTTGTGGTAACTTGATTCTTGATATCTTTGTCCACAAAAAATATATTGGTATTTTCATTGGAATTATTCCATTTTTCACGACAGCTCTCGTATAATTCATGGAGCGTCACGCCACGGCACGATAGTGAGAATTCAACGGTAATTCTCAATATTTTTTCTCTCCGTCTATTTAAGACAATATTTATGGCTTTGTTTGCATGTTTTTGAACGTGTGGATGTGTGATACATCCACTTCCGGGTGCGAAATGTTAGTAATATCCAAGAATTTATCCAAAAATTTTTAAGGGAAGATTTCGAGAGAACTTTCTATCGTCTCAAGAGATTACGTTCTGCGGATGAATGTATTTGAAACGTAAACTGATCTACAATTGCAGATGTATTTACGTTACAAGGAAGGGTTTAAAAAAATTCCTCTTTTTTGGATTTAACAGTATTTTCAAGAATTTCAACTGTCGAAAAGTGGCGAAACGTAATATGGCAAGTCAGACATATTTTTTGACTGAGTACTTATCTTTGAAGTAAGTAATTTGAACATCAGTCGCTATCGAGAGAGTCATCAATAATATGTAAAGTTTATCATAAACTGAGGAAAGTTGCAATTATGGTCTGGAATCGTAATATCAATGTAAACTAAATGTGAAGATGAATGGAGATACATGTAGAATCACTACTGTACTAGTGTAATGCGCTGTTAATTTGCCTTTAAAATAAGTTTTTCGAATCTCACAAAATCCCGGAGAATTGTAGGTTTTTTTGCTAAAATTTTTATATCATTTATATCGCTCACGCAGCGTGCTTCAAACGCGACTTCTGCGCGGAGCGATATTTAAAATATTATAGACCACTCGGGCATAATAATATTTTACCTGAGTTAGTGAATTACGTTTTTGGCGAGTGCAAGGTTTACAGCCGTTGCCGAACGCGAAGGTTGTAATCACACTCATCACAAATGTAATTTATCAACTCGTTAGGTAAAATTTCATACCCCGCAACGTCAGTACAATAAGCCAGTTTACAGTCTGGCGTGCTACAAACTTCATTTTGGACACATGCGAGTACAGACTTCGCCTTTAGCTCGGCCTGTAAACCGCATTCACGGTAAATGTTAAGAAAGAGGGCGCCACCACCGATCTTTCTGAAAACGGGTTGGGGCCGAGTTTGCCAAACTTCAAACGTCAGAATGTACGAAATGACCGACTAACAAAATGCCGTACGCTCTAAATGTTCGATTTTCATAGTGGCTAGAATTTATCAATCCTCAATTGGGTGATTTGTCCGCAATTATTGATATACTACACAGTTTTTATCATACTTATTTGAGTAACAGATAAATCAATTGACCGAGACGATGAATAATAGAAAATATATTTTCCCCTGTGGAAATATTCCACAATATGTGAATGTTCAACTATTCATTCACACGAATTTAAATATTCCATATACGATAGAATTACCGATGAACGACTGGTCCGATGGTTGAAAAAATTAGAAAATATCTTTGACCGCTAAGAGATTTTTTATATTTTTATTTCATCCACAAGAAGTAAGCATCCGAATATCTATATGCGGAAATTTGTGTTCCACCGAAGGGGCGATGGCACGATTGTTCGATACGCCCGAATGTAGATTTGTCCAACAGTATTGTAGATACACTGTAGATAAAGTAGAAATCATTTAGAACACAGGGAAATACTCAATTTCCGGATAAAACCAATTTCTATCATTCGAGAATAATTTGAGATAGTTGAGGACCGCCATTGTACAGTTCAGAAACTAATATTCATTTATGTAATTACTCATTCTTTATAGAGTATAGATGATTTCTACTTTACCGACAGCGTTACTTACAATACTGTCGGACAAATCCACATTCGGGCGTATCGAACTATCGCGCCATCCCCTTTTGGCGGAACACAATTTTCGCATATGGATATTCGGATACTTACTTTTTTGGATGAAATGAAAATATAAAAAATCTCTTACCGGTCAAAGATATTTCCTAATTTTCTCAACCATCGGACCAGTCGTTCATAATTCTATCGTATCTGGAATATTCAAAGTCGTGTGAATGAATAGTTGAACATTCACATATTCTGGAATATTTTCATTTGGCAAAATATATTTTCTATCATCTATCAATTCGGTCAATCGATCTGTTACTTGAGTAAAGCCCGGTTGCACCATCGTCTGTTAACTAAACCGCCAGATAACGGTCTGTTAGTCCATAAGGATTACACATGGATAAATTTATCCTGGGGTAAAAATAGCTAACAGGACTCGGTGCAACCGGGCCTAAGTATGAGAAAAACTATGTAGAATATTCATAAGTATCAAAACATCACCCAGTCGAGCATTGGCGAATTACGCTCCGGAATCATAATATAAATGTAAAGCTCAGTGTGAAAATGAATGGAAATACGTGGGGCATCACGACTACATCAATGTAATGAGTTCTTACTTTCCCTTTAAGATCAGTTTATTGAAAACATTTGACATCTAATAAAACAAGGGTAGGGGAGGTTGGGGTAAAATGGACACTTTTGACTTTTTTAAAAATATTAGTGACGGGTTGAAATATTGATGAAGTTTAATCTTTTTTTTCAAAACAAAGAATAATTCTTTCCCTTTGTGATGAGCCTAAACTGAGCTCTATTGATACATTTATTTTTGAGTTCTGAATAATTTTAAAAAAGTCTAAAGTGTCCATTTTACCCGACCTTCCCCTATGTCAAAATTCGCGTTAAGACTCGGGTATCTTAAAATTCATGTGAAAAATCTCCTGAAATCTCACGTTTTCCTTGTCTTGACAGCTGTATAAATGTTATGAAGGCATCAAAAAATACAAATAACATGAAGCAGTTCACATTGGAAGAGAAATAAAATGATTTGCGAGTTCCGTGAAACTTAGAAATGGATGTGAACAACGAGCTTTTACATGACTTTTAAGATACCCTTGTTTTAAAAAGAAAATTGAAATACCCTTGTTTTATTAGGAGATGTCGATATCACAAAACGTAGAGAAATTGTGGGTTCTTTTGTTGAAATTTTTTGTAAAACTGAATCTGTTTTCGACGATATTTATGGAAAATTTAATCTTCCGGAAAGTGGTAGAATGTTGTGAAACAAGTTTGACAATTTAGCTAGTTATTTATTTATCACGGAAACGAGTGATTTCAGAAGAAAACATAACTTTCTGTAGCTGAAAAAATTTCCAACAAAAAGCATCATCTCTCGTTTTCGCCTAAAGTCGCTCATTCTATAGGTATCATTTGACTTGCTAGAGTTCAACTTTTTCTTTTCATTTTTCACTACTCCATTATCCATATAAATCCATGAAAGTGGGAATAATCTTCCAAACCCGCAATATAAATATGCAAAGCTCAATTTAAAAATTATGGAGAGCCGTGGGGCGCTGCAACTGGACGACTCGTGCTCACGAATTTACAATGGAATTATTTTAATCGAACAATTGAAAGGGACCCCGAGGGCATGGGATCCAGACGGTAGCACTATCCGAGATAACGATCTATTATTTAACCTCCCATTTCGAGGTGGGATGCCACCAGTAACACAGCACAAGTGGAAATTGAATCTTCCTCAGTTTATTTTCGATTCTTTGAGAATTGTTGCAGAACATTTCAATATAAACAAGGTGGTTAATATAGATTCGAGTTAATGATTCATGAAAGGAAGATGTGAATTCCTCTGTAACGTAAATTGTCATTTATTTATTATCTGTAACTTATTCTATTCAATAATAGAATCTATCTTCTCTGGTGAGTTCGAGAGCGAACAACGTTCTGGTATGATAACAATGTACAGTTTGATGAAATATTTTACAACTATTATTACGCAGTTGTTTTTTTCTGTCGTTTTTTATAAAAAATATATATGTGTTTTGTATATATGTATATTTGTACGTTGAGAACAAAATAAAATTCACGTTTGAAACAACGGAAGAGGATATAAAATGATAGAAATAAGGGCAGTACTGTAAAGGTACTCTTTGATTAGTTTTTCGGTGGTTTTTAATAATTATGCTATCGTGAAGCAATGAAAAGCCATGGGTTTGGAGGACTTTTCTCATTAGTTTGCAAATATATGGGCAAGAAACAACTATAAGGAGATCAATCAAATAATCTTTTCCATTACAAAATTTGCGAGCTACTTACAAGAAAATTCTCTCACATTTTTTGCTGAAAGATATATTTGTGAATTTTAGAGGCACTGAATAGCGTAAAGGTAAAACGATTGAAGTTTATTGCAACTTCAAGTCAGCTACCGAAAGGTATCGCGTAATTTGAGGAGTAAATACTATGATAAATACTAAACATTACGGGTTATTGGAATGTACTCACGGGATCTCGATATGGTTTTCTTATTTTCCTTGAGTGCAAAAACTGATAATGAATGTGGAAAAAACACATAGAGAAGCCTCAAATGATATACTCGAATAAACGATCCGGTGGAGTTAGTTTTTGTAATTGCCAATTTTTCTCCTAACGAATCCACAAATAATATGTAGAAAAACAATTACGACACGTATGAAAGTATTTCATAGAAAAACCGAGCTAATTCGATAGAAAATTCTATTGGGTTTCTATTGAACGTCCATTGAAAATTCTATTAGTTTTTAACCGATTCTATTCACGTATTTTGCAGCTTTACTGCATGTTTTTACTTTTTATGTTGAAAATGTTTAATCGAAACCATTTTTTAGTAAAAAATCAGTAAAATATCCTCGATGTGAATTCTCTGAATTTGTTCACACTATTTTTTCTTCCTTTCCATTAAATCAAGCAAACAAAAAAACTGTCTTTTTCCACATTTTGTTTCCTAAATGACGTAATTTCTTTTACCTCTATGAAAAAATTGATTGAACTGGCGAAATAATTCGCGATTGAAGTATTTGTGCGTTTATACGAATCGGGATTTCGAATACCGAAGAAGTGAGTCGTCCATGTTTTTCTGGACATGTTTGAACAAATTTTGTGAAGAAGAAAATGTTGGCTTTCTTAAAAATTAAAGTACACTCAATAGTTTTTTCAATTAGCTCATTTTAGGCTTCTATATAGCTAACATACAATAACCAATGAGTTCGTTTACACTAATCATCAGTTTTTGCATACATGGAATATAGGGTAATCTATGGAGATCCTCTCTTCAATAACCCGTGATGTTCAAAACTCATAGTAGTCTGCTGTTAACAGAAATTGAAAAATTTCCACGAGGACCTTCTCAATAGAAGCGGATGAAAGCTACCAAAAATATTCCTAGATAATTGTGCTATCGCCCTCAAATTTAAAGATACTGAATGAAAAATGATAGTAAGTAAGAATGATTCAGGCTGGTTCACCTTTTCGCCATTAGTTTAAGAAATTATTAATATCAAACTATTTTTAAGTTTCTTTTGTCATTCGACATGAACTATTCCCTATCACTTAGTTTATAACAGGTGCCCACAATAGAACTCCTTTTCATTATCTCTTTTTTATCATGCTTTTTGATCAGAACTAATTAATGCTCTGATGAGGAGCACTTGGTATATCTGAAGTATCGGCGAACAAGAAGATACGGTCTTTTGTTTCTCCTTTTTTAAATGTAAAATTAATTTCATTATCTTTAATTCTAAGGAGTTGATATTTAAAAATTATTCGAGTCCGCTTTGTACACATTAACTAAAACAGCTCTTGACATTTCTTTGAGAATATCTGCCCACAGAAAGACTTTTACAAAAATTTATCATCAGACCATCGTTGTCTGAATTATACATCTTTTAACATGTTTCTCTATATGGCGTAATGCACCAAATATTTGCAGAATTGTATGCATCACATTTTCCAACTCACAAACTTTTCACTTCATCACAAAATTATCTTCAAGATAAAAATTATATAAATTGAGCAACTATACAATTAATAGCTCCAAGTATGCTGCATCATCGTGGCGGACTAGATTCGTAGAAAATGAAAATTTTCATCTCTTAGTCATGAATTTCGATATAAAATAAATTTTCTACCAGCGATGAATCAATTTTTGCATTGAAAATATTTTTTAATTCTTCGTTTCATTATTGAAACAATTTTCTATGCGTCGATTTAATAAAAATTTACAAACGTACGTTTACGTCAATAGTCTCCTATATTTTTCGTCGTTACTTTCGTTGAGCTCACACTAGATAAGATATATACAATTCTTAATCGAAATGTTCTTCCTTCAACGCCAGATTTATCGCTCGACCTACATCTTTAACAACGAAAGCTGGCCTGCAGAGGCCCTCCTCCAGGGGTAGGAAGTCCCTCGGGCAATGCTCCGATATGAATTCAGAGTCACGTCGATGAACACCAGTTTCAACTAAAATACTGATACATGCTTTAACAGTCGGTGCTTCTAAATTTGTACCTAATAATTTCTCCATTCCACGTGATTTTGTCTCTTTGCCTTTTGAATATCTTGCTAGGTATTTGTCATAGAGATTTGCGCCGAATACGTCGGTATTGATGTTGTCCCTGAAAAAGTGAATTCATTCATTATGAAAATGCTCTGACAATTTTCAGTTTTTGAAGAGCAATTGGCGTGAGAAAATTTCAATTTTCATGTTTTTCTGCAAAAGGAGTACAATTGCAGTTGCAATTAATGAGTGATTTATCAATTAAGGCCCGGGTGTACTATCTTTCGAACGTTATCTCGATGTTTTTTTTTCATCTTTCGTCATCTGAAATTCTCAATTGAGTTCTGCATCATGCAGAAGTATTGAAAAATTATGAATGAATAATAAAAAAAAAGTAAAAGAAATTCTTAATTTTTTCAAAGAGCATTTTTAATTTATATTCAGAATAAGTTGAATAACAAGACATTGAAAAATATATCTGATTACGGTGACAAATGGCGGCCTGTCACCCAATATCATGCAGGGGGAAGACTGATTTCGTAAATCTTTTCCCACACTGCACAGAGACATTTATTACGAAAAAGGCTCTTTGAAAAAAGTTGTAATATTTTGGAGAATTTTTTAATCACACTTTTATCACATAAAAATGGCAGATGACTACATACCACTGTTGTGAAAATTCAGATAGCTAGCTGTCACTTCCCATGAGGAGTTAGTGTTTTGTTATCCACCATGGAAAATGACAGCTAATAGATAATTTGCCACAGCGAATCAGATATTTGTAATTTCCACTTTTNCTGATTTCGTAAATCTTTTCCCACACTGCACAGAGACATTTATTACGAAAAAGGCTCTTTGAAAAAAGTTGTAATATTTTGGAGAATTTTTTAATCACACTTTTATCACATAAAAATGGCAGATGACTACATACCACTGTTGTGAAAATTCAGATAGCTAGCTGTCACTTCCCATGAGGAGTTAGTGTTTTGTTATCCACCATGGAAAATTACAGCTAATAGATAATTTGCCACAGCGAGTCAGATATTTGTAATTTCCACTTTTTAGAACTCATTCTGAATCTCAATTGAAAGCGCTCTTTGAAAAATTTCAGAATTTTTTCTATTTTTTTTATCATTCTATCATAATTTTTGTGATGTACCACTCAATTCACAATCTTGGATTACGAAAGATAAAAAAAATCCAGATAACATTCGAAATATAGTACACCCGGGCCTTAAGTTGAATACTTCAAATCAAAAACTAATTTTCCAGTAATTATAGATTTATCTAGAAGAACAACTGATTTCATGAAAAAAAATCAAGAGAACATCTTTGAACGCTGAGGAAATTTCCCACTAAATCACCTTTCGCCTTTTTTTAGTACAGGCTAATCATCAAGAGATCATTTCCATTTTTAAAGAACAAAATCTTCATACCTTATACAGTTGTAAGTTCACTCAGAGTATTTGACGACTAACATTTTTGTGAATTTTTTCAAAGATGATAATTTATGTTAAGTTTTGAATCCTTTGATGGGAAATATTGGATTTATAATTGACTTTATATATTTTGTTTGTTCGACAATTTCTGATCCTCGATTTTATAAAGCACAATTTCAGTATTTTTTCTGTTTGAACAATGTTAATTTTTTCATTGAGGCGTGTGAATGAGATATAATTTTTCTTGATTAAGGGCCGGGTGTACTATCTTTCGAATGTTTTCTGGATTTTTTTCATCTTTCGTAATCCAAAATTGTCAATTGAGTGGTACATCATGTAGAAATTCCCAAAAATTATCATAGAATGATAAAAGAAATAGAAAAAATTCTGAACTTTTTCAAAGAGCGTTTTTAATTAGGATTCAGAATGAGTTGAAAAAAGTGGAAATTACAAATATCTGATTCGCTGTGGCAAATTATCTATTCTATTCTATGTTTTTTTTTGGCCGTCCAACGTCGAGGTTTTACGGGCCGCTATCCCCCTAGGGGGACATTGCTGAACTTAGTTGAAGTTCATGATAATGAAGATTCCATAGATGATAATCTTCAAATTAAATCTTCTTTTGAATTTTCTTGAGGAAGTTGTAGATTAGTTGACAAATTTTATCCTTTGGTGATTTTATCAGAGTGTATATATTATATGAGTGTATTCCTAAGTTATTCAAAGCTTTTACTAAAATAGTCCTCTCTTCTTTATATTTTGGGCAGATCCAAAAAACATGAGTGAGTGTCTCTTTGATATTTGCATTCCAGTCACACATTGGAGAGTTGATGTAGTTTTTTCGTGCTAAATCTTCGTTCAAATTGAAGTGATTAGCTCTCATTCGGTTGATTGTTGTGATGACGGGTCTATTTAAACTGGACAATTTGAACCACGGTGGGCGCCATCCTAGATAGAATTTCTCAAAGTATTGAGTCCCTCTATCTTTTGATCGATTTTTAAGAATTCTTACTGTATCTTCACGCATTTTTTTGAATCAACGTCATTGAAGTGACCATTTATTCGTTGATGAATTGAGTTGTCAAGGACTATTTGGTTGCATTGATGTTTAGGTNGTCCTTCGCTAGGGTGTCAACCTTTTCATTTCCCTCTAAGTTTACATGGGCAGGGATCCACATAAATAGGATTTCTAGTCCCAACGACTTTTGAATGACCCAGCTATTGAGTATTTCATATATTAAATAAGAAGGATTATTATAAGGGGAGAAATTTTCCAATGAAGAGAGGACACTCAAGGAGTCAGATAGGATAATAATCTTTTCTGCATTCAAATTGGACGCTTCCTTTACTGCAGTTAAAATTGCAGTTGCTTCAGTAGTCAATATTGGTGCAAAAGAAGATATTTTTTGTCTTATCTCAATGTTGAAGTCTGGAACATAAACTGAATATCCCACGTAATTTGAATCCTCGCTTTTCGAACCATCAGTATAAATTTGTGAATAGTTCTGAAGTCTAAGATTACAAAGCTTATCTTGTAGAGTTTTCTCTGGTGTATTTGATTTCTTGATTAAGGTTCCTTTATTGAGAATTATTCTTGGGTCTGCATTTATCAGTTCATGTGAATATGAGTAATTACATGGCTGCGGGTCGACGTTTATTTTAGTTATGTGGTCAGTCAGATAAATGAATGATTTGTATAATGGGAAGCTATCTTGAATATTATGTATCCCTTTATTGGTATTGAGACGTAGAGCTGAACGTAAATTATGGAGCTTTTCATATAATAAATGCTGTGAGTAAGAGAATACTCGAGTAATATATCTATTTGTTAGCTGTTCAATCCGAATGTTTAGTGGAGCTTCTCGAGCTTCAGCCAACATGACGTTGATTGGAGTCGAATTCCTATATGCCAGTGCTAGCCTAATGGCTTTGTATTGAATTCTATCGATTCTCTCCATGTAAGATAAATTAGATGGAAGAATTATCTGGCATCCATATTCAATCGAGCTTCTTATTAAACCACGATATAGAGTCAGCAGGCACCGAGGATCAGATCCAAACCAAGTATTGCAAATGGCACGTATGAGAGCAACAGTTCTAGTGTTTTTCTCAGCTAAGAAGGCCAAATGAGGTTTAAAGGTAAGACGGTGATCGAGAGTAATTCGTAAGAATTTAACCGAATTTTCTGCCTTAAGAACTTGGTTGCATACATTTATTGAATAGTCTGAAGGCTTGAAATTTTTTCTGGAGAAAATGATCAAATGTGATTTTTCTGGGGAGATGGATAAATTTCGTTGATTCAGAAAATGTGATATATTAGAGATTGATTTTTCAATCTTCTGAAGGCTGGTTTTTATGTCGAGACTTCGTTGGAAAATGGCTACATCATCCGCAAATGCGACTATTTCAATTCCTGGTTCAAGAACATTCGGTAATTTGGACACATAAATGTTGAATAGTATTGAGCTTAAAACGCATCCTATGCCAGTTCCTTTGTTCAGAGGGTATGGGTCAGATAATTCCCCTCCAATTACGAAATAAGCTGTTCTGTAGGCAAGGAGGAAGTAGATGAAGGTTGCAATCTTGTAAGATATTCCAATTGCAGCCAAATCTTGATAAAGTTTGAGGGGGTCCACGTGATCAAAAGCTCCTTTTATATCAAGGAAGAAGGCCGAAGTAAATTGTCTATTTATAAATCCTGTAAATGCTTCCGTCGTTAAAATTGCTAGATTGTCTGTGCATGATTTCATTTTTCGAAATCCAAATTGGGAAGGAGGGAAGATATTTTCATTTTCTAGCCACCATGAGAGTCTGTTAGAGATGATTTTTTCACACAGTTTTAGGAAGCAAGATGCCAATGTGATAGGACGAAATTTTCCAGGTGAAGGCTTTGGAATGAGAAAGACTAAAAAGTCTCGCCATGCATCCGGAAATTTACCTTCTTGCAAGAGTTTGTTGAAGATGGAGAGTATAATTTCTTTATATGCATTTGGGAGAGATTGAATTAGTTTATAATCAATTGTGTCTAGTCCTGGGAAGGAATCTTTTTTGGTTTTCCTTAAAGCTGCTTCAAACTCCTTAAATGTTAAATCTTTTTCAAGTATATCGGATGATTTGAATGGGGTTTGGTGGAGGAATAGGAGGTGAGTAGTCTTGCGGTAAATTGGGACAAAATTCCGTGATGAAATTTTTCATTTTTTCTGATGATTCCATATCTTGTTGAGGTATTAAATGAGGGTTATGAGAATTTCTATTTTTAAACCATTTTATCTTGTTCCATATAACGCTAATTGGAGTTCGATAATCAATTGATTCACAAAATTGCCTCCATCCTAATATTTTCTGTTTACGTAAAGTCAATTTGGTTATTGCCACTTGTCTTTTCATACTAATGTAGTTTTCAAAGGTAGGATGTCTAAAGGTGGAATATGCTTTTCTTCTTTTCGCGGCTGCTCTAGAATAGATTTCATTCCACCAAGGAGCTGGTGGAGTACCTTTTTTTGAATTGTTGTGTTTTTTAGAGGTATTATTTGGGTTTGAGGGATTTTTTTTCTTATCCGAGGATGCGTGATTAATAGCCTTCATAATAATTTCAATAACATTTTCATATTCAGAGACTCCATCCAAGTCCTCCGGGAAGTTTTTGATGACTTCTTCTTTAGATTCAAGATATTCAAAGAATTTTTCCCAGTCTATTTTATCTTTTTTGATCTTGTGAGAGAAAAAGTGATATTTCACGGGGGATTCATTCATGATTAATTATATGGGGTAATAGTCACTACCCGTTGCATCTCTTAAAACTTTCCAAGAACATTGAAGCGAAATGTTGGAGGATACTAATGTGATTTCTACTGCAGAGGGATTTTCATTGGGTCTCGAAATTCTTGTCACAGAACCATCGTTCATTAAGATCAAGCTTGAGTCATCTAATGCTTCAAGAAGTGAGTCTCCGCTTTTGCAAGAAACACCACAACCCCATGCCGGAGAGTGAACGTTGAAATCCCCTCCGATGACTGAAGCGTAGGCATTGGGGTAAAAGTTGAATAAATCTGACCATTCACGTTTTGAAATTGGGATTCTGGGTTTTTTGTAAACACAGTATATGGCAAGATCCCCTTTGGATGTGAGGAGGAGAATACCACGAATGTATAGATTAGGTGAGATTTCGTCTGCATTTTGAATTTTCTTGTATTTCAAATTGTCCCGGATAGCGATAGCTATTCCCCCACCATGTTGATCCTCAAAGTCTTTTCGATAAAGAATGAATCCAGGGAATTTGAATGGAACATCTGGTTTCAAAAATGTTTCAGTTATTAAAATGATATCATAATTAGTTGAAATTTTCTGTAAATCTCTCATTTTTTTCTTCATACTTTGTGCGTTCCATTGTAAAATACGTAGGGGATTTCCTTGATTAATGTTTATTTGATCCATTTTTGTTTGAATCTTGTATAATGGGGGAATGATTTTCAATTTCTGGGGAGAGTGTTCGTTGAGTTTTGTTTTTGTTCATGGAAGGAGAGGGTAAACAGGAATTATTTCCTTCAAGGGGACCTATGGCACGATTGAATTGGTTGACACTGCCGCTGAGTTGAGAGAAGTCTCTGTTGATTCCTACTGCTGCAAGAAGGGGGGATAGATTTTCCACCATTAATTGAAAGAATTGTGTCATTTGAGACATCATAACCTTGAATTCTTGGCATCCTTGGCAGGGTTGAGTCGGTAGAGAGGATTGTTGAAGAGAAATTTGTTCATAAGGGTATTGATTAATTGTTTTGGAGTGGATAGATCTCATTGGGACTAGTGTCTCAGTGAAATCTTGACTGTGAGTAATTATATCCTCGTTGTAGCGGTTGATTTGCATCAAGTGATCAGAACTTGAATAAACCTGTTGATGAACAGTTGGGTTGTATTGACGTTCAGTGATTGGGTCATGACGGTCAAGTGTAGGACTCCTCGAGTGTTGGTTTGAATTACGATTATCTGAAAATCTCTCTTGTGGTGAATTTGAATAAGGAGAGATATTGTGAGAATCCGGTGTTTTATCATTCCTTTCATATTTCGCTTGTGGGTGACTTTTCCGGGGATGGAAAGATCTTGATTTTGTCATAGGAGGATAGTGAAACATGTCATTAGGTGGAGGAGAGGGAGAGGCAACTGCTTGAGCAAAATTCATCTTTCCTTTGAGGATTTCTCTCGCTTCTACATAAGTAATTCCATTTATTGCCGCATATTCGTGAATGGACCTTTGTCTCAATAGTTCAGGGCAATTTTCATCAGTGGATTTATGCTGATTTTTACAATTAATGCATTGGGGAAGTTTATTTAGGAGTGGGCAGGGAGCATCGTCTTCGTGTGCAACATTCGCACAGTGTGAGCATGTTTTTGAGTTATTACATTGAACTTTTGAATATCCAAATCTAAGGCAATTGGAGCACCTTCTCACTGGAGAATACATAAGGGTTAACCTCGAAAATAAATCCATACAGTTTCACACTTGAGGGGATCAATTGACCTTCGAATTTGAGGAGAATGGTTTCTGAGGGCTTTTTAACGAAAGTCTTGTCAGCTTTGCGAGAAAAATAATCGCAGCGTTCAATTTCTTTAATAGGAACTGAGCTATCAATATTTGCTCTAATCTCATCTATAGTCCAATCTTTAGGAACACCTTTAATTACTCCCTTTCTCATGATACACCAATCTGGGATGTAAGCAATAATCTTCTTTTCATGTAAAGACGAATGATTAATAATAGAGTGGGCTTCATTGCGGGTTTGAAATGTTATGAGTATTGAAGATCCAATTTTCTTCAGATCAGTTGACTGAGATCGGATGCCCATTTTATCGAGGAGAAGGACAACAGTTTTACCTATTGCCATAGGATTCAGATCTGAAGCTCCACTTTGAGAATAATCGGGTTGGAACATGACTTTATAAGCTTTGCAGTGGTAATGAGGGGAGTAACGGTTGTTGAGAGCTTCTGGTGGGATTACACGTTGAGCGTTAGGAGCTGATGAAGTTGTAGTGATATTTAATCTCTTTGAATTTTTCAAATTCGAATTGGGTTGAACAGATGAAAGATGTTTGATCTTTTCAGAAGATTGCTCATCTGAATCGGGAGGATCTCGTGTACGAGGTCTCTTGATTACTCGATGGTTTTTATTATGAGGTAGAGAGGGACTTGCCTGGGAGTTTCCTGTAATCATCTGACCTGAATGAAGAGTAACTGGCTTTGAAATGGCAGGACTAGTTGAAAAGGTGGCACCCATCGTTGCCTTTGGAATGTGCTTGGGAGAGAAGGGGATATTGTTCTCTGTGCAGTAAGCTCTGTATTCATCCAAAGAGGAAGTCTGAGTTAGGATTTCATCAGGATCATATTCCATGTCATCAGCAGAGTCCATGAGTTCGACGGTCTCGGAGGAGGGATCATTCAGAGATTTGAAGGGGTGGGAAGTTCCGACGATCTCATTTTCTTTCACTAGTTTCTCGATTTCTTCTTTGGGGTTTTTCTTCTCTAGGTGATCCATTTTTATTTATAAAATATGAAAGATTTCTCAAGCAAGAGTCAATAGTCTTTTGTTTTGTGTAAAAAAAAAAACTAATTGGAAAGGTTAATGGGTGAGGCAAAGACCGAAAAAAACGGCTTGCCCGCCAAACAAACACACCAAATTAATGAATTAACCACTGATTCGACTAATAGACTCAACATTCAATTAAATATGAAAAATGAATTAAATTTAAAGCAGCTAAATGCCGTAAAAAAGTTTTCTTTGATTCCCAATTTGGTCCAGACGTCCGTACGCTATAACGGTTGACAGTCGAATCGCAAATTATCTATTAGCTGTCATTTTCCATGGTAGATAACAAAACACTAACTCGGCCCGTAAAACCTCGAAGTTGGACGGCCAAAAACATAGAATAGAATACAACAAAACACTAACTCTTCATGGGAAGTGATAGTTAGGTACCTCAATTTTCAAAACAGTGGTATGTAGTCATCTGCTATTTTTATGTGATTAAAAAATTCTCCAAAATATTGCAACTTTTTTCAAAGAGCCTTTTCCGTAATAAATGTCTCTGTACAATGTTGAAAAGATTTACGAAATCAGTCCTCCCCCTGCATGATGTTGAGTGACAGGCCATATGTCACCATAAATCAGATACATTTTTCAATTTCTTGTTATTCAACTTATTCTGAATATAAATTAAAAATGCTCTTTGAAAAAATTGAGAATTTTTTCTATTTTTTTTTCATTATTCATTCATAATTTTGGAAAACTTCTATATGATGCAGGACTTAATTGACAATTTCAGATGAAGAAAGATTAAAAAAAAAAAACATCAAGAGAACGTTCGAAAGATAGTACACCCGGGCCTTAAATAAATAAATTCATGCCCCTGGATAGAAATTCCTTGTACATCCGAAACAGTGTGTTGTCCCTGTTTATTGTAGTATCTGAACGAATATGATGGCCGAAAATAATCAATATTTTGTGAGAAAGAACAGTCGAAACAATAATTTTATGTGCGATGATTAACTGAATTTTCTACGACCTCCAAATCTAACTGAAAAACCCTGAGAAACTCACCCAATAGCATAAATTGTGTCCACATTATGGTCAATTCCAATGTCCTTCGCATGCCTCATAATCATCTGATTAGCATGATAATAAGTGACTTCACTGGGCTTTCCAATCAGCGCCGTATAAATCATGTCCTTTCCAGTGACTTTTTTATACAAAGCCTCTAAACATACAAGAAAAGCTCCGTGACCATATCTAGGTATAGGGGCTTCAGAGACCCACAGCAGATCCATATTACAGGCGAGGACAGGTATGTGGGGATGAGGAAGAACATTTGGTAAGTTAGATGGCATTCCATCAGTCATCATGAGATCTACCATCAGCTGCAGGGATGTCTCCCACGTCGTGGGCTCGCTCAACATGACAATCCCCTCGATTGGAGTGAAGTTTGGGTCCACAGGACCACATGTGGGATCCCTCCTGTCTTTATTAACGTAATCTAGACTTGGGAAATTCTTAACTAATTCGTCCATCGTCACTGTATTTTTAAATCCTAGTTCTTTGGCTATCTCGCGGGTCTTGCCCTGTCCTGAGATCAAAACTCGTTTATCGTGGAACTGCTTGAACATACGGAGGGGTGAATGCGCCATCACCACCTGATCCTCAGTTACTTCGAAGCCAATCCATTTTGACAAGTCCTGCGCCTTTTCTGAACGGAGTGCATTTCCGCTGTTCGTTACGAATACAGTTGGCACCCGAAATTTACCACTGTTATCACGTAAACGCGCGAATGACTCAGGCACTGGTGGTAGCACGGTTTTACCTCTCACAATGACACCGTCGATATCGAATATCAGGCCGAATTTTGGCTTCGTACTCAGGTGCTGCAATAATACGGTTTGATTAAAAAGGTTACACGTGCGAAAAAATATTTATAGACAAATCTAGTCCATTCCCTGTAAAATTCGATTGCATTTCTATTGACATATGTTAACCTAGCAGGCAAAAGTAGCAGAATCGAATTTTCAATAGTGGACAATTTGCAGCTTATTATGAGCTATACTTTTATATGCCTTAAAAAATCTTTTTGCTAATACCGTTTTTGAAAAAAACGTGTCTCTGCTAGCTTTTTTGTTTTTAGCAGAAAAATTATTTAGAAAATCAACGGAATTTGATTTTCGATATCGGATAATTTAAAGCTAATTAAGAGCTAATTTTCTACGTTTTCAAAAAATTTTCAGCTAACCCAGTTTTTTGAAAAACGGCGTTAATGCTAGCTTACCGCAAGTTAGCAGAAAAAATGGTTGAAAAATGAACAAAATTTCGTTTTCTATATGGGATAATTTAGAGCTCATTAGCAGCAATTTTTTTACGTTTCAAAAAATTTAAAAAAAAACAATTTTTTTCAAAACAATTTTTTCTGAATTTTTTTTTTCACAAAACGACGCATTTGCATACTTTTAACTAAAATGTAGAAATGAACTAAATCTCATTTATAAAAGTGATAAAAAAATCAGTTTTGACATTGGATAATTGAAAAATCATTACCAGATAATTTGTTATAATTCCAAAAGTTTTAATCTTTATGCCGTTGTTTGCCGTTCGGAAAACAATAGCGTTGCGGCTTATTATGAGCTAATTTTATATGCATCTAAAAACATTTCTGCTAATGCCATGTAAAAAAAAAACGTATTCATGCTAGCTTTTTTGTAAGTTAGCAGAAAAATTATTTAAAAAATCAATAGAGTTTAATTTTCGACATCGGATAATTTGAAGCTAATTAAGAGCTAATTTTCAACGTTTTCAAAAAATTTTCAGTTAACCCAGTTTTTGGAAAAACGGCGTCGATGCTAGCTTACCGCAGGTTGGCAGAAAAAATGGTTGAAAAATAAACAAAATTTGGCTTTCGACATGAGATAATTTACAGCTCATTAGCAACTATTTTTCACGTTTCGAAAAATTATTGAAGAAAAATTTTTTTTTCTCAAAAAATATTTTTTTTTAATGAAAAAATTTCAATGTTTTTTTTTCACAAAATGACGTGTGACGTGTGGAGATATTCACACGTCGATTTTATTCAATTAATACTTTCTAGATAGAAAAAGTTCAAAATGCTCAATAAGCAGTCCCACGGTGACACCTGAGTCCAGCTTCTCAGAATGGAGCTGTTTGATTGTCTTAGCCATTGTCAGTGATGGACATATGGCCGTGTTAGTTAGAAAAACCGTGAGAACACTTATTTAGCATTTTCGGCCAGCAACGACTTTGAAGCTCTGGAATAGAGCAGAGTACGGCAGGAGTTGAAGATGGACGGACGTCCTCTCCTAGCCAAAAATCTATAGTAGATCCGCGTCGAAACCGAACCCATTTAACAGTTGATTTTATACTTTACCTATCTATTCAATATACTGTCAATTATTAATGTAACAGTGGTGCTCGATTGTTTTATACGAAGAATACCTAATCAAATCCTATCCTAGTCGCGTCACGTTAGATCTTGAGAGAAATCCGCGTGAGCTCTGACCGTAGCTAGTTGAGCAATAGTTTTTGAGTCGACTGGCGACTCAATTAAGAGAGGTAGAAAACCTCTCACGTCACAGACGCATTTATATACTTTTGACCAAAATGTAGGAATGACCAAATTTGTAAAAGTGATAAAAAAAATCATTTTTGACATTGGATATGACGCTAAAACTAGCGGGAGACCGTAGCGGGAGATGTGGTAGGGGACTGTACGGCCCCCACTACCGCCACTCATTGTACGCTCCCATCTCGTTAAATGACAAAAATTAATACAAAGCAAAGCCGTGAAAAATTAAAAACATTGTCTATTTGTACCTGAGGGATGGGGGAAGACTAATAGGGGGGAGATATATCGGTGCACTCAGTAGGGGATTTTTAATTGGTTTTTACAAATCCGAGTGAAAAAAAAAAGAATTATAATCAAACGCAAACACTTGAAGTCAAATTTCTTTTTGGAAAATGCACCGGGGGGGTTGGGGGTTGATCCCCATTTGGAATTTTACCGGTGCCCTAATTAGAGAATTTTTAATTAATTTTTGAAAATCAATTCCACCGAGTCTTCGGAGTAAATAAAGAGGAATTATCCAACGCAAATACTTGAGGTCAAATTTTTTTTTGGACAATGCACCGAGGCCGTTGGAGGTTGATCCCTATTTAGAATTTTCCCGGTGCCCTAATTAGGCAATTTTTAATTAATTTTTAACCATCAATTTCACTAATCCTTAAGGGGGCAATGAAGGGTAATAATCCAACGCAAACACTTGGGGTCAAAATTTTTTGTGGAAAATGCACCGGGGCGCGCGGGNGGGCTCGGGGGAAAAAAAAGATAATAATCCAACGCAAGCACTTGGGACCAAAATTTTTTTTTTTTGAAAATGCACGGCGGGGGGGCTCATGAAAATCCTTCGGCCGTCCACACAATTTGGAATTCACAAAAAAAATTATTAAAAATCCCCTGATTAGGGCAGCGGGAAAATTCTCAATCGAGAATAATCCCCAACCCCACCGGTGCATTTTCCACCGAAAATTTTGACCCCAAGTGTTTGCGTTGAATAATTACCCTTTATTTATCTCGAAGACTTGGTAGAATTTATTTTCAAAAATTAATGAAAAATTCCCTAATTAGGGCACCGAGAGAATTCTTAATGGGGATCAACCCCCAACACCCCCGGTGCATTTTCCAAAAAAATTTGTGACCCCAAGTGTTTGCGTTGAATTATTATCATTTTTTTCCCCGAACCCTTGTTGAAACTGATTTTCAAAAGAAATTAGAAAAAGAAGTGAGAGAGAAATCAATAAAGAAAATTTGCAAGAGAAAATTTATTAGGGAAGAAGAATTTCAAGTTACCGACTCGAGATAAAGAGCAACAGTCGGTAAAATCGCGTACGCATGAGAGAGGAAAACGACTGAAGAGCCCGATAGTAGCGCAAACTATTCGTGTTTCGCCGCGCAATCGCGCCGATTGGTGGGAGTCGCAGCCAATCGGGAGAGAGTTGAGAGTAGTAGAGTGGGAGAAGAGTCCAAGGGCAGCGCGAAGCATATAAAAGGAGCTGCAGAGCAGCGAAAAATCAGTATCTCACGCAGACTTAGCTCACTAGAAGGGTTCCCTTGTAAGCAACACAAGGCGGCCTAAACCGGAGGGGTATCCCCGGTAGAAACCAAGCCTGAACCTCCACTAGAGGGGTATCCCTAGTGGAAGTTCCGATAGGAGGTCTAGTTCGGAGGGGTATCCCCGGACGAAGCCATTCCCAGAGAGAATTAGAATGGCGAATCTCCGTTGAAACCAGAGGGGTATCCCTGGTGGAGACGTGAATTCCCCATTAGGAGGTGGAAACCGGAGGGGTATCCCCGGTGGAAACCATTAGAGAAGGAGATTGGTCTAGAGGGTGGGAAAGTCAAATTTCTCGTAGAAGGCTGAAATCGGAGGGGTATCCCCGGCGGAAGCCAAGTCCGAGCCTACACTAGAGGGGTATCCGTAGTAGAAGCTCCTTAAGAGGTCTATACTGGAGGGGTACCCCCAGTAGAAACCTGAAAATCTCCCTTAAGCCAGGGAGGGATTAATTAAGTAAATTACATGCGAAAAGCATTTAGATTCGAGGAAACGTAGTAAGTCGCAAAGAAATTTGTCATTTCAATTTAGAAGATTGAATACTCGTGAAAAAAAAAGCAAAAGTAAATAAAAGAAAATTCGAGAGTCGATTAATTAATTAATCAATTAGTACACCCGAACTTCTCAGTACACTGCCGCGGGGGGTGAAAGGGTTGACTAATTCGCTGTTTTAGTTTGCTGTAGATATTATAGAAGGGGGCCTTCTTCAAACATTGACACCTGGCTCCACTTGACATTTTCCAGACATGTCTGAACTTGAGTTTTCCAGTACTTTCTCGTTTGCCGCTCCTCTTCGTGTGAAATTGTTGTTGATAACGATATAAATATATAAATATTTATTTTGAAAAGAAGGGTTCAAAAGGGGAGGGAGTAAGTATATCTGCAAAGGTAGAGGATCAGTCAACCAGAAACTTAGGTACCCCCACCAATTTGGCATAGTCCTCGACAAATTGTACACGTTGTAGTAGGAGGAGTTTCCGAAATATCTTCATCTGCTGCAAACTGATAAGGATGGAAATGCATTGGAAGATGTCCGAATGCAATGTTTCGTTTACATAGATTTTCTCGGTTTACCTGGGAACGCACGTGTACTCACAACCCTAAGAACATGATGTTTGACCAACTGGAGCAGAGTTCTCGGACGCTTTAATGTCCTATCGCACCGCAAAGATGAAATGTTATCGAGTACAGTGTTCAGATATTTTTTTCCCACGAACAAAAAGTGTTGCTATTTCGTAAATAATTTTCCATGAGTCACATGATTCTTTTTCAACCAATCACGTGACATTTTCCAGAGGGGTCGAGCATAGGCACACCCACATGTGCCTTTATATAAACAAATTTCACCTTGGTTTTCCGCTAGTTCTTTAGTGCCTTTATCGTGAAAAACATGAATCCTAATGCGTGTAAAAGATTATTAAGGTCATTGAATGATGCGTATGAAATAGTGAAAACGAATAGGAGACCCAGGGAAATTCAACAATGGATTAAACACATCAGAGGATATTCGAAGAAATTAATGCATTATTGAAGAGGAGTTCGAGTCATAGTGAAAAAAGCCGTTTTATGCCACTCATGCCTGAAACCGGCTGGATTACACACTCGACGCTTCGCGTCTCGTGTCTAATTCAGTCGGTTTCAGGCTTCGTGACATAAAATTTTGTTCAGTACTGGTTGGGAAATTTTGTCCTTAACGTGTGTGGTTACATAACTTGCCTTCGGCTCATGCTGTAAACCCCACACACGTTAAA